TTTTTTTTGGTTTAACAAATGAGCGTTGTCGATAGATTGGAAATGCGCATCTTTATCACTTGTCTGGAACAACTTTGATCTTCATCAAAGCACTACTTCATCATACGATTTCAGCACGAGCCGCTGTAGCCTCAAGATGTGGAATTCCGCCTGCAAGGCAAACTCCTCTTAAAACTAACAACTCTGTGAATCCCCCGGGAAGTGTTTCGCAACGTGAGTTTCTTTATATTTGCTTTTTTTTTAATTTTGAACCATATATACTTAACCAGATAGTTCAAAATTTTTGGAGCTTACTCGGGTCTTACGATAGCCATTCTAGTTTCAAGTTTGTCGATTTTGTACTTTCCTGTGATCACATTAGTTAGGCGAGCTTGGATCTCTACAATGATTAGTCGCAGAGTTTATTATATCTTCTTTTGCACATAATCGCCCATATCAACTACTAAAAGTTTCAAATTTAAAATATCGCAGTTATTCTTTGTCCAATTATTCGGCGAAAAATTCTTTTGAGGAGAGCCGCTTTTTTTGGTGTACAGCATTGTCTTAAACCAGTATTCTTGACAGTTCAGGAGTCTTACACTAATCTTAACAACTCATTATTGAAACATCCTTCTGCCAATGTTTGTAGAAAACAAAACGCTGGTGCTGTGCTCGATTTATTACATGTAGTCGCTTGTACTCGATCATACTAATTATCCCATTGAATAGTCCAAAATTGCAGCATTAATGAGGGTTTTCTCTGGTGCATGCTCAATTACGAAACTAGTTGTTACCACAATGAATAACATCGATCAATGACAATGTTGCTTCAGCCGGATCGAGGAGCACGTCACCTTCCCGAACGAGCGGTAGTCGTCGTCCTGTTCCAGTGGCTTCTACCCCGTCGGTGATGTCTTCAAGTCGAATCGGCATTGGAGTTGGCAGAGCACGTCAAATAAGCACAAGAGAAGCAAGTCCAAGAAGATGTAAGTAGACTATGTAGATGTGTAGGCTGACGTGACTAGTGTTGGGTCTCAGTTAATGAAAGATTGTTGTAGCTGAAGTTTTATTGGAAATTCTGCTTCTTTTCAGTCAGTGGCGGCACATTGAGCCGTGGAGCAAGCGCAAATGGTCACAATAGCGGCGCAGATACGCGACAATTGTGTAATGCTATTGTAAGTTCCTTAATTGGACCAACCTGAAGCGGTTTAGAGTCAAGCCTCAAACGCTAGCCAAGCTTTCCGTAACCATTCATTTTTGCTATTTCAGAGGAATTTCTCTTTCACAGCTGACGAGGAGGAGTTTTCGTTGGGTGTTTTAAGGTAACAACTTTTCAAAAAGCTTCATATTCAATACTAAATTTCGCTATATAAGTCGCATCCTAAAGTTCTGAGTGCGCACGAGCAACGCCCGGGACCTCCCTTGCAGCGTGTAGATAAAATCATATGTAAATAGCGCAGCCGGGCATTGGTCCTGCGCTCGAAAGTTGGAGTGTATAAAATTGCGAATGTTGTCTTCGAAATTGAAAATTTTTGAAAAAATTTTTGTAGATTTAACCAATGGGATTTGACAAGTGTGTTGCGTCTTCACAAATGTTTCGATTGAAAGGGATTTAAATACATGCACCTCTATTTCAAGGGACGGGCGTTTATAAATTTGGTTGTACACCGTGTACAACCTCACACCTGCACCTGTTATCACTCGCGCCGATTTTATAATGCTCTTACAGTAACAGTTGTATATGTGGTGTTGTAAAGGTTGTTTCAAAGCCGTCTTAGAAGTAAATAGAAATCTCCTATTGATAGACATTTATAGTGATTACCGAAATAGTATAAGACTCCTTAGCTTTCTTGGACGATAGACTCCTTAGCTTTCCTGGGCGATGCAGAGCAATCGTATTAGAACATGAAATGTTGAGGACTTACTCACATAAGCTAATTGGAAGTATGTGCCAGAGCTCAAAAATTATTTGAGAATCTGATTGCTGATACAGTAGAGTCGCGGGGCATCCCCTGCTGAAGCTGCGCCAGAAACCCTAGGCACTGCAGTCGAAAACCTTATAGTATAGGCTGCGCTGTTCAGCGTCAGCTTCAGCCTAACATTATTCGCTTAATCAGATGTACTCGAAGGTTAAATAGTTTCATTCTTGGCTTAATGTTTAACAACTATGTTTTTGTAGGTATGACCAAGCTGGTCTCACAGATGCTTTGAATGCTTGCACGTCGTCAAATCTGAACGAGAGGAAAGATGGGCTACGTTCTCTGCTGGAAATTCTTAAGTATGTTAAACTGCATTCTAAGATATGTTTAGATGTGGTTTGCAACTTAAGAACATCTCTCTGACCTTTCCTCAGTCAAAAGCATCCGTCATCTTGGCATGACTATTTTTATGACCATAAATATGGAATTTATGGAAACTCGACGTTTTAAAATGTTTGATGGTTTCCAACTCAGATCTCGACGCAATATTCCTCCTCCAGATATAAAAAAGATATGCGATGTCTTAAACAAACTTCTCACTGAAGGGAATCACAAGGTAAGTCATGCGTTTTTCTCATTCCTCTTTTCAACACTTCCTCATCATATTGCTCGTCCTTAATTTATTAGCTGCACTTTCAGCTCTTGTCTATGGTAATGGATATACTGAATGTGTTTGTGTCGTCGTATCACGACAGTTTAGGCGATTGGTTGCAATTCCTTTTGCTAAGACTTCTTCATAAAAGTGGTGTTGAAATCCTCCCTACTGTTGTGGTAAGTATACATCTGTTAGGCATTGGTGTATGGCATTTAGCTTCCATTTATCTGATATTTTTCTAATATCAATTGTTCTAGCAACCATTAAATATGGCCTTGAAAGCAGTACGCACTACATTCCGGCCAGAACTTCAGTTAATAGCTATTTGCAAAAATATACAGGATCCAATCCAAACACCGCCCGTAAAGGTAAAGCTCTCCTTCATTTAAATGGCTAAAATCTGATATGTTTTATGAGTGCTTCAGGCGAAAGCTGCTACACTGAATTATTTGCATGAATTATTGCAAGGGATGGAGCAGGG